TGAGTAGTGTCATGTTGGGCATGGGAGGTCATGGGGCTCCCTATTGTAAATTCAGCGAAAATGAGAAGATTGCGTCGAGCGAGACCTTTCTCGAAAATATGGTGTGTTTTTTTTGCCTATATTGCATCAAGTGTAGGGTGCCTCATGCCAAGCACCACCCTATTCTTATGTATTTATTATATTGAAATTGTATTATGATTTCTTAATGAAGAATATGATAATTAAATGACTCTAATGAAGAATATTGCTTGTATGAATTTAGTTGTAAGATTAATTTGTTGATGATGTTATGGAACATGTGATTTATTGCGTGTGGACCATGTGATAGTCATACGATATGAAGTTTAAGTTTAACTTAGTTGTGTGAAAGTATAGGCGAGATTAACTAGTCAATTGTACTTGTTGCATTGATTAAAAATAAGTATATGATATAATTGATGAGCATGTTATATGAGTATGTTATGATGAACTTGTTGAGTATAAATATGCATAGAATATGGTATGACATGCATCATGTGCATTAGTTATTTTTGTGACGGGTATGATGCATAATACGTCGTCAAGGAATGTCCCTTTTGTGTAAAAGCTTGAAGATTCATGACCTTGAAAATAACCAAGTTTGGGAGTCTCAATTCCACCATTGTGTGCATGGGGTGTAACTTAGACAACATCACTATCCTGACGTGCCCTGATGTATATCCTCATAGGATATAGTATTGTGATGGCTTGACCGACATATTCTCCTCGACTACTCTAATTTGACCTTCGACCAACAATTGAAATCATTTTACTAGCACCACATGCATATAATTTTGGATTGTTTGTGTCAATTGCGTTGTCATAAACATAATTGTATCTTGAATGAATGTGAATTGTGAATATGATCTATGTTGAAATGTATAACTATTGAAAGGAGTATTTGATATTTATTGATCTTAAATGTAAATGTATATTTATTACTTGTTGTGTGTGACTACCTGACCATAGCTTATATCAGTAGGTAGTGTGAAATATTTCTCACTCTCCTATTTTTTGTTGTTGTTTGTTTTGGTATATGGTTGCATGCAAAATTTATTATGACAATGATGAGGTTGGAGATAAGGTTTAGACCTTGTACTGTATATGCTTTAATAAGATGTGACATCGGAACATTAGTTAGGAATTTATATTTTTTGTTGGTTATTTTAAATTAGGACTTCACTTTAAATTCTATGATGCGTTTTCTTTTGTTAAACATTCATTTAGTTATTATTTTGGTTTTGTTTGAAATGTGATAGGAAATTTACGAATTATGTTTATTAAATAAAGTTATATTTTGAAACTCTTCCTTATGTTTAGTAGTTATAAGTTTACGTTAGAATGCGGGATAGAGGGTGTCCAAGTTAGAATTTATTGAAAATCATAAGAGAGAGAAAGAGAGAGAGTCGTTAAGTAGGTTGTGTAACCCACCAACTTTTGTGTTTTCTAATAAATTTCAACTAATTAGAGAGAGTATGCTCAAAAAAGTATGTTAGAGAGTATATTCTTAACATTTCTCTTACAACCATTGCAACTACATCATCCTTACTAGAATGACCATTTTTATAAAAAGATAACTTCACCATTTGAGTACAATTTATATTAGGAAAAAATTTATGGATAGTAGTATTATAGGTGCTTATAATATTTTCTTATTAACCAATTTGAATTGGTGCAAGTAGTGAGAGACTCACTTCACTTAACTAAGTAGTTGAAATTCAAATTCTAATTTTTTAAAACTCTGAAAACTCAAGTAGGGAAAAGATGTACTTTCTCAATATTTATCAAACCTTAAAAAATATTAATCCCTGTGTTAGATGGGAGAAACTCTGATAAAAAATAAAAAATAATGTTCTCTTATTAAAATTAGTGTATTAACTTATGTATATACATTAATATTTAATATTAACCTTTATCATGTGAATTAATGAAATATAATTATAAAATTGATGGAAGAATAATATAAGGAAAAAAATAGAATATCATTATATTACACCAAGGTTTTATTTATATATTAATTAGGTTATTTGGTGTGTATCAAACGTCTATCATATTATTCTACTTTTAATCTTACTTTGTTGTCTATCCTTATTTTATTGTATCATCTAAACATTACCTAAAGGCTTTTTGTTAAGCTTATAAAGAAAATTTAGAACCTTTCTATAAGCCTTTTCGTTTTATATTAATCAACTTCGTTTTAAAGTTTAATTATCCAATTAATTTTATTAAAGAAAGGCTTAATTAAATTGTTTATCAAATCACATCCTATATCTATTGATATACCGTGTTGGGAAAACAAACAAGAAGCTTGTAAAACTCTCGAAACCCAAAACAATTATACCACTTGTGGTTGTGGTGGGCCAAGCTCTCTGATAACAAGTTGCTTATGAAATCCGTCTGCCGAAGGACCCGTCCACATGAAATTAGGCATAGAATTTCACCACACAAAACCGAAATTGAGCATAGAATCGTTGCTAGTGATTACTATGAGATGGATCCATTTCGAAGGAAGAAAGATGTTATACTTCTCGATATGATTAACAAGATTAATGGTTTTCTTTTTCCTGCCACTTTTATTCTTTATCTCACTGAACTAAGGCTAATTTTGCTTGTATTATCATGACTACATCTGGCCTAATGAATTTTTAAATGAGTAAAAATTGAATACAAATTTTTCATTAAATAGATAGTCTCGACAAGTCCCACAAGATTAATGTAATACAATCGTAATAAGTTGCAAGTTTTGAGCAGATATTTCCTTTTTACTAGCTAGCAAAATTTTCACAATTTGAAGCTTGATGAACTTGATATTTTTAATAAAACATTTTTTGTTGTGCCTTTATGGGCATAAAATAAGGAAGAATATATTCTTTATTTAAAAAGTATTTATTATATAAAAACATAAAATAAAAATAAAAATTAGATGTTTGGTTTCTGAGAAATATATAAAACCTTTTTTAGTATGTATATTAAATATTTTTACATCATATAAACCCTTGAATACCAAGTAGACAACCATTTTGATCAAATATATGACCAAACTTCGGTTTTTCATCTAAAGGAGCTACATCGTTGGTTGAAGAAGTAAGATAAAGTTTGGGGAACAAACGGTTACTTATTTGGCCCTAAACCAGGCCTTTCGATGATAGTTGTAATGAAGGTTATGCGTGTGGCAGACTGTTAGGATCAGATATTAGCATCTTTTTAAGCATTTAATTTTTTTTATAAAATTTAAATTTAAATAATAATATAAAGAAGTATTTATATAGTATAAAATAAGAATAGGGATGATAATAGACACCGATAGAGTTTGAGTAGAATATTACAATATTTATATCATGCTTCTATCAAGAAAAAGTTTTGTACTTATACAAGTACTAACTTAAATATTGATTATAGATATTTATATAGCCAAAATTGCATTTAATATTTTAGTAAGAAAATATTTAACGTGTTTTACATTTTTCAACATTGCTACATAAAAATATTATTTCAGTATTCAAAATATGGAAGAAAAAAAACGAAATAAAACTAATTAAAAATAAAAAATCTAGCTTAAGATTTTTTTTAAAAAATACTCAAAACAATTTTGAATTTTAATTAAAAGATATAACAAATTTTTTATTTTATGTATTTTTTTTAATCATAATATTGATACGAAGTATTTACCCCAAAAAATAATAATTAATATCTCTCATAAGATAATGATAATTTGCATAATTTTTTTGATTAAGTGATATATGCATTTTATTTGCATCATTAATTTAACCTAATATTTTATTAAGATAAAAATTATAATTTAATAAGCTAATTAAAACAATTTGTGTTGTATTATTTATAAATTATCAAAGTCTACTGGGATAACCACAGAACAGGGCCGCAAAACAGACGCTATCACAATTTGGAAAGCCCAACTGACACAGGCTTGTAGGTTCATGATATATACATCTCTTTTTTTTATAAGTATACCTTCTTTTTAAAAAAAATTAAAATTTTAAAATATTTTTAATTTTTAATTTTTTAATTTTACATCATCAACATTCAATTTAGTATTTTTTTCCACACATTTTTCCTCTTTTTTTTCAATTTTTACATGCATCTCCTTACCTTTTCTTCACCCTACCTATTTTGGTAGCATGTGAAAACTAAAAGAAAATAAAAAAAAAGTGTGTGAAAAAGGAGAAAGTAACAAATTGAAAATTAAAGGTGAAAAATAGAAGATTTAAAAAAAATTACAATATTTTATAATTTTTAAAAAAAATATAAAGGAGGTGTACTTAAAAAAAAGGAGGTGTATATATCATGAGCCAGGCTTGTATAGTTGTATGTAACGGTAGTGGGCAGCTTCTTTGTAAATCTTACTAATTGTGGGTCAACTTTTTTTAAATTAAATTTTTTTCATAAAGTAATTTTTAATAAACAAATAGGAATTACTTCTTTAAAAAAGATCACTTTAGATAAAGACACTATAAAAAAAATATTTTTTAACTTATTTTATTAAAAAGTATTTTTGTATAAAATAAAAATTTAAACAAATAGGCTATGTATTACTTTTTTTTGGGTAAATTCTATATTACTTATTCCATAAGCAATTATTTTTTTTGTTTGTACAAAAGATATCATACTTAGTAAACTCGGTTACTTTGTTAAGTTTTTTTTTTTTTAATTTTTTTTTATAATATCAAGTTGGTAATACATAAGAAAGGAATAATGGCAAAAAGAGAGAATAATGTGAAGTTGAAAAGTCGGTTTATGATTCATTAGAGGTGACAAAATTTATACTATATTGTACTAGATATCACCAACAAAAGGAAGCTCTTCAAGAGTAGAAAGTATCCCAAATTTATAATCAACCGAAGAAACAATCCAAATGTAAACGAAAACTACATAGGAACCGTTTTCGCATGATTGAACGCGTATCTAACTTTCTTTCGAAATAAATAGATTTTCTAAATAAGGTTAAAAGTTAAAACCACAAAATATAACATAAACAAAATATAAAAACAATTATTCATAAATTTTTTTAAAATATCAAAACTTACTATCATTACCTATTTCCACACATAAACTACATTTCCAAAAACAAAAAAAAAAATCTCTCACAAACACAAGCCCAGCCATTTTCAAATTTTCACACACATCTGAGTCACACTAGTGTCTTGCAGGTGGAGCTAATGGGGTCCCACATCGCGGGCAGCAAGAATCTCCGGCCGCGCAGCCCGACGGCGTTGTAGCTAGCCCCCGTGGTGTTCTCCACCAGAACGTCTCCGGCGTAACCCGGATACGCCCCCTTCCCGAAGATCCCGGTGCACGCTGACACCGCCTCCAGCGGCGCGGTGGCCGGGCCCTGGAAGTAACCGTCCTCAAAGGGATTGGTAACAACCCCGGCTAACACGGTGGCCAAATTTACAACCATCCCGTCGACGCCAACGTCGGCGTTAGGCGGCAGTAACGGCGGCGTTTGCGGGCCGTAAAGGGGTTGATGAAACGGCCAGGCGCACTGCCCCGGACACTGCGTGACGGAGTTGCCGACCCACGCGTAGGCGATTCTCTGACCGCTTTTGGTCTTGGCCGAGGCGTGGGTCCCGCACTGGCTGACGCAGAAGTCCTGGACTGCCACGTCAGCGGAGGTGAGGATGACGTGGACAGCACGTGGGGATGTTAGCTTTGGGTTCGAAGCGAGCGCCAGGAGGTGGTGCGTGTTTAGTGATTTTCCTAGGGAGTAGTTTTGGTCGAGGATTTGGTTCCCTATGCCGAGGGTGCAGGGCCCTCCCCTGTAGCTTTCGGTGGTTCGCCACCAGGTGGACACGGAAGGGGTGTGGGGGGCTGACGTGGAGGTCAGGGATTGGAGGAAGTCCAATATTATGGAGCGTTGCGTGGGGGTGAATGTACCGTACCATAGGAGGTGGAGGCTGATGTTGCCCTTCAGGAGGGCACCCTTGTGGTACTTTAGGACAAGTGGTTGGTTCTGAACCAACGCTAGCATGCGGTTCGGGGCTCGCGAGGTGGCTTTGGAGAGGAAGAGGAAGAGGAAGAGGAGAAAGGGAAATGGATGCGTGGGAGTGAGACCCATTCTATCACTATTGGAGTTTCAACTTGAAAGGGCTTGTCTTGTGTTTATATATATACTCGTGTGGAGTAGTGGGTGTCATTTGGATATGGCTTTCTGCCATGTTAATTTCATTAATGGAAACCGTGTATTTTTAACGAGGCAACTACTAGTACTACAGTCTTTGTTTGCTTCTTTCTACGTCCATGCTTCATCTTCAGGTTTTATTGCCGTCAAATAATTAACTAAGCAAAATGTTTACCCTAATCCTTTGTTTGCCAGAGAATAAATAATGTGGAGAAGAAGGTTAAACATGAATGAGAGAAATAAAAGATGAGACTTGTTAATTATTTTTATTTTAGACTTAAATATATCAAAAAGTCATATAAGTTGTAATTTCTAATTAATTAACTATGTAAAAAAATTTATATCAATAATACGTGACTATTAAACTCATAAATGATAAGCCAAAACTCTTCAGGCACACACATTTCTTACACATCATCTTTAATATATATATATATATATATATACCTTTTTTACTTATCATATTTTTGGGTGTTTAAATTATCCTTGATTACAAATCAAATACTAATCACTTGAGATGTGAAAATTTTCCTACCACATCACTGTCATTTCTTTTCTTGTTTGGGTTATAAAGGGAGAGGAGAGAATTTAAAACTGATTTATTTTTCTTTATAATTTTAAATTTAAAAAATAAGGATATTTTAAATATTATACTACAAATATTTTAAAATCTATCTTTTTCCCTCCAAGTCTCCTTAATATTGGAAGAGAACTAAAATTGAGGTAGGAAAAATTTTGCTTCTTTCCTTTCTCCCTATTCCTTTCTAACCAACCATTATGTAAAATGATATGCCATCATATATGGTGAAAATAGAAGACAAAATTTAGTATCATTTTGACTAAAAATTAATTATAAAAAAATAATTATCATATTTTATATAACATGACATAACTCTTAAGCAAAGATAATATTTTTTTGGTTCATTTAGCAAAAATAACATGGTACTTGTCAGAAAATTTTAAATAGATAAATATTCATCTTTCTTAAGTAGGGCTATGTATATTCAAATCTTGTATATGAAAAGTAAAATTCACCAAAATAACTTGCCGTTCAACATTATAGATGTTTTTCAACTAAAATAGAATTCACCAAAGATTAAAATTTTGCATTACTATCATGTTACAAATGTCATCACCAAAAGTTGATAATTCATTAATTATTTTTATCATATATTTAATTTTTATGTAATTAATTCTTAATCATTTTACAATTTTAATTTATAATGTATAAAATGAAAATGATAAAAAAAATGATAACACGAAATTTTGTATTCCTTAATCAATAAATGGGATCCAATCTTGTCTTGAGTATAGTCATATATACAAGTATTAATGATAATATATATATATATATATATATATGTATATATATATATAT